TTCATCAGAACGGCGCCTGCCAAGCCCCTGACGCCCGTGACGCTGGAGTTGGGGGGCAAGAACCCCTGCTACGTGTCCGACACCTGCGACGTGCAGAACGTGGCGCGGCGGGCGGCCTGGGGCCGCTTCTTCAATGCGGGGCAGACCTGCATCGCGCCCGACTACGTGCTGTGCACCGTGGAGATGCAGGAAAAGCTGATGCCCGCCCTGCGTGCGGCCATCACTGAGTTTTTTGGTTCCAACCCCAAGGAATCCTCCGATTTCGGCCGCATCGTGGGGGACAAGCAGTTCCGCCGCATCCGGGCGCTGCTGTCCAGCGGGCGCGTGGCCATCGGAGGACAGACGGACGAGAGGGAGCGGTACATCGGTGAGGACACGGGGCTGGGGGCTTGCGGGGCAACCCGTGGATGTGCACAGGGGTGCCGTAACCCTTCTCCTCAGCCCCCACGGTGCTGGCGGACGTCCTGCCCTCGGATCCCGCCATGCAGGAGGAGATCTTCGGCCCCATCCTGCCCATCGTTGTTGTGGCCAACATAGACGAAGCCATCGACTTCATCAACGCCCGGCCGCGGCCGTTGGCCATCTACGCCTTCTCCTGTGACAGCAAGGTGTGTGTGGTCCCCGGAGCAGAAAGGGGGGTGATGGAAATGGGGGCCACCTCACCCCCACCCCGTGGAATGTTCTGGGAGGGTCTTTTGAGCCCCATTGCTCTGGGCACACTGGTCTGATGGATGAGTTGGGTGATGTTTGACCAGGGAGTGACCCACCTCCTCTTCTCTGCGTCCCTCCCAGGTGGTGAATGAGGTCCTGGAGCGGACGAGCAGCGGTGGCTTCTGCGGCCACGACAACCTGATGCACGTGACGCTGACCTCGCTGCCCTTCGGTGGCATCGGTAGGTCCCAGTCCCCCAACCTGCCTTACCCCTGGCCAATGTGAGCCAACGCAAGCCCACCCATGGTGCCTGAGCTGTGCTGAGGAAGGGTCTTGGGGGAGACGGGGCAGCCAGGGCTGGGCCCCAGGTCCACAGGGCTCAATGCTCTCTAGGGAAATCCTTAAGCACCAGGTAGGACCCCCCCGA